CTCTGGACAGTTCCACAACTTACCTTAGCAATGCTTTCAAGTGGCCTTTTAGAAAGTAGATGTCATTCATATAGAGATGCTGGAGGCAGTCGAGTTCGAGGTCAGGGAACTGCGGAATGGGCTCAGTGACATACTTCATGTCTGGTAGAGCAAAGTCACCATGGAGGTCCTTCTTGAAGATTCCCAGGAGAGGGAGTTTGCAGAGAAATCCCAGCTGTTCCAGGAAATGTGCAAACCAGGCCTGGTTTCCCTGTTGCCACCAGGAATTTGGTTCCAGCTCCTGGATACAGTCTCTGTCTAAAATTTTCAGTATCTCTCTGACAGTGTAGACATGTGATGCTGTGATCTTCAGCTCCCGACAACACAGCTGCACTGAGCCTTTTCTCAGCCTGGCCCACTTTAACAGGGATTTTTCAGCTTCATTCAGACACTCACCACAGAGGTCAAAATCCACTAACAACCTCAAGGGCTGCTTCACTCCACACTTTGTATCGTGATGCCTAGTTTCCTCTTGACTCAGGACCTGTGGGGTGTAGCTGACATCTGTGCATGCAGTCTGTTCATCCCAGGGGTTCTGATTTACTTTCCTCAAATCAAGCACTTGGAGTTTCCACTTCCTGCAGAAAACAGGTGGGAAACTTAAGAACTAGGATCAGACATCACATAGTCAGCTATTTTTCCACATCTCAACTCTCACTTCCTGTTCCCCACTGTCTTCCAGACAGCTCTATTTCCAGAGCTGCCCATCGACCAATGGCCTCCTGTCCTGGAAAGAAGGGTTTTTCGCCCCACTGGCAATTATATTTCTGTTTTACTGTCCTCTATTTTCCCCCTGCCTGATCCCACTTTGCCTGGAGGAACAGGGAGAGGCTCACACTGCAGTTGCAGTATCAGATCTAAGCTGCCCTCCACACTTGACACTCTCATACCTTCTGCAAGGTCTGAGGCCTGTGTGATTGTCCAAACCGGCACAGTGAGAAGCTTCTGATCCACATTTGACCACACTCTTCCCTCACACGAGTTGTGCCCCGACTGAACCTGCAGGACCTTTAGCAAGGTCTTACCTACCTGGGACGAATTTTGTGTGTAACCAGAAAATCCAGTGCCTCGAGCACAGCCTTCATAGTCTCCATGTGTAAGGTATTCATCAGAGTCCCAATGGGGAGGCAGTGAAATGGCCAGGCTGCCACCATTGCCCTCACCACATTAGTCTGTCTCCCAGTGAAGGCTTCCTTGAACATGGGTAGGAAGAGCTCCTTGGGTAGGTCGTCTAGAGCAGAGATGGCCAACGCCTCATCCCTCAGTAACTTTTGCACTAACTGCTGTAGGAGTGTGGTCTGGGCAGGACCACTCATTCTTGTAGATTACCAGGGTCCACAATCCAGGGAAAATTTCTGGAAATATCACAGTTTGTTTCGTTTTTGTTTTTTAAGGCCTGGTTTCTTAGTGTAACAGCCCTACCTGTCCTGGAACTAGCTCTGTAGAACAGGCAGGTCTTTAACTCACATATATACCATCCTCTGCTGGGATTAAAGGTGTGCACCACCACCACCCAGCCCAAAGCAACAGATTATCAGGCTGAGATTTAGAAAGTCCTTATTCTCTCCCATCAAAGGAATCAATCAGTGTCATAGTCACACCTATGACAACACCTGAATCTCAGTTTACATCATGAAACTTAGTATTGGTATCAAACCATAACAACAACAAGACCAACATATCAGGCCATGGATGTACTGGCAGGCAGCATGGGGAGACTCACAATTACACATGTGATCACATATTCTCTCTGTCTCATATAATTATTGCTCCTTTTCCTTTCAATCTCATTCACACTGGGAAAGGGGTGTATCATGGACCCTGTAAACTGAAACACAGACAGCATTTAAGAGTCTGGGGAAAGGAACTGTCAGCTTACACTGCCCTAGCTGTAGTCAATGTTTCAAAGCCAGTGTATAAACCACAAATTCCAGAAGCAATAAAGCCATGCAAACTCAGGGAGAATCTATAACAAAGGGTGGGCCTTACCGACTGCTTGGTGACTTCTCAACTATCCTGCTCTACAGGAGGCCTTTACTTAAAAAAAGAATTGTCAAACAGATGTAAACAACAAGATATCAAAAATATCTCAAACTGGGTGGTGGTACACACCTTTAATCCCAGCACTCAAGAAACATAGGCATGCTATTCTCTGTGATAAGAACCATAGTCAGCTGGGCGTTGGTGGCGCATGCCTTTAATCCCAGCACTCGGGAGGCAGAGGCAGGCAGATCTCTGTGAGTTCGAGGCCAGCCTGGTCTACAAAGTGAGTTCCAGGACAGTCTCCAAAGCTACAGAGAAACCCTGTCTCGAAAAACCAAAAAAAAAAAAAAAAAACATAGTCTTGCTATTCTCTATGAGTTCAAGGTCAACTGGATTGACAGAGCTAGTTAAAGGACAACCAAGGCTAAACAGAGAAACCCTGCCTCGGGAAAGACAACAACAACAAAAAACACAAATATAAACTTTATCTGAAGTTTACCTGGCGGACCATGCTGGTAACCCCAGAACCCCAGAACTAAGGTTCTGAGAGAGAAGAATTTTGCTGGCCAGTGTAAGTGGAAGGCCAGCCAGGCAACAAGGCATGCCTGCAACAGAACACACAAACTAAAAGACTCTGCAGTCTTCCTCTCAGGACACTCATGCCAAAGACCACAGGGAGTCGAGGTTTCCTGCAAAATACAAGAGGATTTGGGAAGGAGTCAAACTGGAGCAGAAATTACAGCAAGGTTTTAAAGCCTAAAACTGCAAATGCGGTGGTGGGGTCAAAGGGGAGTATGGAAGTTGGTGCCACACCTTCATGAATCCCATAGGCTTGTGACTGTCTGGCTGATGGGCTCATTATCTATCTTAGGCAATGTCTGTGCCATGACTAAATTTTGTGACCGATCTGGAAACTTGAGGTCTGGGGAGTGATCCCAAGTCCTTGAGGAAAGAAGTCTGGGGAATATTTTCAAGTCCTTGAGGACCACCAGGGAAGATGTTTAAGTGTAGCTGATCACATCCAAGGACAGGACAATTTAGTAATTTTCCAACTATTGGGGGGCTAACTGTTGGGGCTCTTCAAAACAGCATAATAACTGACAGACAATATTACACATTTGAGATGAAGACAGCTCCAAAACAATCAAGGGGTCTAAGCCAATGTCCTAAACCTGCTCCATTGAAGACAGTGAAATCAAAACCCCTTTCATCAACTTATGCTTAATGTCACCCATGGACACTGAATAGCTCTAGTTTGGGCATTGAGTTGAGGTAGTGGGGAATAAGGGGGTGTATGGGGTGTCTTGATGGAGGAGCATTACTTACCAGAGGCAGGCGGCTATGCTAGTTCTCCTATTCCCGGCAAGACCAGAGAATGACTCAGGCTCAAGAACTGTGGGTTTCTTCTCTGGCTCCTCTTAGCCTTTTACACAACTCTCCACTCTTGTCTTCTTCCCTTTGTAGTCCCAGCTAAACCCACAATCTGCAATCTGTTTGGTGAATTAAGTCTCCATTCTGTTAATGCTATTTGGAAATTTACATTATGTATATTGATTGACTCCTGTTTCAGTGCGTCAAAGAGAAAGACCCCAGGCTATTACCAAGGTCAGGGTCATAGATTTTCTTTTCAGAGGGGGTTTCAGTATTGCCTATGCCTACTTAGAACTTTTTATGTAGCCTAAGCAGATTTGGAACACTTAGTAATTTTCCTACCACAGTATCTGGCTATGACATAGAATCATGGAAGAGAGCTACCATACCCTGCTTGTTCTATCGTGTTCTGATTATGAGTTAGCTCTGAGTTATTCTGTTTTTAACAGACTGAACACATAAATCTAGAGAGACCATGGTCATGTGGCCATTTTACCTCTAAAATCATGAGTTTGTTTGGATTCAGAATGAGAGTTGGATTCTGTAACAAAGATCTCTTGTATCAGATTCTTATTGACTCAAGTCAAGTGGTGGAAAATGCCTTTAATTCCAGCAATCCAGAGGCAGAGACCGGTAGATTCCTATGACTTCAAGGCCAGCCTGGTCTATAAAGTAAGTTCCAGGAAATGCTACAAAGTTACAGAAAGCCTGGTGATGGTGGCACATGCCTTTAGAACCAGCACTCAGGAGACAGAGGCAGGCAATTCTCTGTGAGTTCGAGACCAACCTGGTCTACAATAGCTAGTTCCAGGACAGCCTCCAGTGTCATAGAGAAACCTTGTCTGGCAAAACACAAGAAAAACAAAACAAACAAAAAACAAAGTTACAGAGACAATCGGTTTCGAAATACTGAAAAAAGAGAAAAAGTACAAGGACTGGAGGGAGGGAGAAAGCAGAAAGGAGAAAGGAAGGAGTAGGCAAGAGGATGGTTTGAGTTCAGAAGCATGGAGGTAGCCATGGGCAGTGTATTTCCATAGGTAGATTAATTGCAGTGCTTCATGGAGCCCTGGGTTCCTTCCTCAGCCCTCCATATAGCAAGCTTTGTCCTTGTTGGCTACAAATAGGGGGAGTTATTTCTGCATCCTGAGAAATAAAAACTGAGGGACAGGTTTGTCATCAGCAGGAACCAAGAGCACACAGCTTCACATACTGGAAATAAATTCTGTGTAGTTTTCTCTGACCATAGGGGCCTAGGTTGACACTGACAGCATGGAGTCAATGGGACAGTTGAATGCAGAATCATAAGAACTCAACAAGAGTGGTGAGCTGCCCTCTGTTGTGAGTTGTAAATTAATGGTTAGATCCTAGATGCAATCATTTGCCTGTTTCCATGTTCCTGGTCAGGAAAATCCTCTGCAGGGATGTAAAGATCCCATGAAGTCTGGGTTCTTCCCTAAAACCTCTTGATATCAAAGTAAACACAAGCCATTCTGACATTGTATTCCTTCTTCTTATATGCTGGGCTTCTCTTACATATGATTGAAAGCTACTGATTGCCCAAAGTTGTCAACCTCAGGTGAATAATGCAGACTTGTTAATTTAGGAGATTAACCAGAGTACCGATGGTTGCGATTCAGGAAGTGACCAGGAGGTGGCGCTGTGGGCGCATCAAAGATCGCTAAAGCAAACTATGGACAACACAGAGCAAAGGGAGTAGGATCTAGAGCACATTGCTAGTTCATTTCTCTCCATCCCACCCTGCCTGTCTTTTTGAAAACATAGCCAAGATGGGCCTTGAACTCCAGAACTTCTCTCCCCCATATCCTGGGTGTTGAAATTGGTGACTTAACCACTGTGTCTGTGTGTCCTGTTCTTCAGGACTGCCAACACCTGGCTGAAAACCAGCACATAAGGGCCAACAAGAGAGGGACAAAAGTCCCTGTCCTGTTCTGAAGGATTGTCAGCCCCTTAGATATATAATAAAAGCATTCAAATGTGAACTATCCTTAATGCACTAATGAGTCCCTAAACCTAGTCCTTGTTCCTCACTCCCCTGGAAAAGCAGATAACAACGGAGAATTTTTGAACCACTTTAACTCTCATTGGTTTATTTATTAACAATTTTGGTGGCAGAACTTGTGACAACACTAAAGGGAACTGGCTGCTAGTTTGGTACCCTTAGTTTATTTCCTGGGGCCCATGAAGGTTAAGGGGAGGGCTAACTCCCAAAGTTCTCCTCAACCTCCTCCAGCAGGCCATGCAAGAATGTTGTGGTGTGCATATACACACAAAATAAACAGATGCATGGGCTGGAGAAATGTCCCATCTGTTCATAACATACAATACTCTTGAGGAGAACCTGAGTTTAGTTCCCAGTACCCATGTTAGACATGTAAAAACTTCCTGTAACTCCCTTTCACACCGACATACCCTCATCTGCATCTACGTAGTTCAAAATAATAAGTTCATGAGATGTACAGAATAGAGGCTACTATTCTCTGGTTCAAGTGTGAACTCATGGACGAACTTGGAGGCTGGAGTGATGGCTGAGCAGTGAAGAGAACTCGTTGCTTTTGCCAGCGACACAGGATCTGTTCCCAATGCTCACAAAGTAGCTCACAACCATCCACAACTACGGTTTTAGGGGCCCTGATGGCATCTCTTAAACTCACAGGGCACTATGCCCTCATGTGGTACACATACATACGTGCAGGAATATACTCATACACACACAATAAGAGATATATCTAAATTAAATGGATAATAGATACCACAATGCCAAAAGGGACCAAAGAAGTCTCTGAGTCACTGCCTGAATCCTGGGGCCAGAGTTCTCCACAAGCTGAATCACAGGTGTTCATTCAGGGTGTTTTCTGATCCCACCCAAACCTCTCTCCAGCTGTTACCTGGGGTGGCCTTGCAGCTCAAAGTCATAAAGAATATTCCTGCTTTTCACCTCAAATAAATACATTAAGAGACCGGTTTAGGAACTGAACATGGTGAAACACGCATTTAATCGAGTCACTTGGGAGGCAGAGGCAGGTAGAGGAAGGCAGATCTCTATGAGTTCCAAGGCAGACTGGTACACAAAGCAAACTTCAGGACAGCCAGAGTTGTTACATATAGATACACTGTCTGGAAAAAATAAGCAAAACAGAAAAACAAAAAGAGTCTAGTTTGAGGCTGGACAGATGGCTTGATTATTAGATCACAGAGTCTCTGTTCCCAGCAGTCACCTTGTAGCACAGAACTGTCCCTACCTCCCACTTCTATCCTCCATGCCCATGCAACATGCATGAGTATACATACATATATGCAGGCGATAACTCTTTTCCCCCATCCCACCTCATATCTGCTAATCAGAGAGGGTAAGGCCTCCACTAGGATGTCCAACACCATGTGAGCCAGGACCAAGATGCTGCCTCCTGCCTTATATAGGCTAAGCAAGGAATCTCTACTCAGAGAAAAGAAAACTCAAAATCAGTTCATGTATTACAGTTAGTTCTTAGTCCCACTGCCAGTGCCCTCATATACTGCCCACGCCTCACCAATGCCACCTGTACTCAGGGTTCCCAGTTCAGTCCTATGCAGGTTTCCTTGTTGACAGTGCAGAATCAGTCATCTCTTACTAGCTCGGGTCAGCTGATGCTTGGGTTCCCCCATCAGGGTCTTGATCCTTTGTTCATATTGCTGCTGATCTTGCTCACTTTGTTTGTATTCTGGGAGGTGGGTCCTATGGTTTATTACAAAACTCAGCATCTGATTACATCTGTGTCTGGAAGAGGGGTCTAGGTACTCTGGGGTCTTTGTTATATTAAAACTAAACATGCTTTTATTACTGTTTCTATCCTTCTTTGCTCTCCCAGGCATTTGTACATTTTTAATCACACTCTAGCTTTTTTGAGTTTTTTTTGTTGCTTTGTTTGTTTAGACTGTCTTTACTGACCATCTGTAACCCTTTCTGTCTGGATGAGCAAAACCCCAAACCCATGATGCAGTTTGCTGGGGAAGCTCCCACTAGCAGCTCAAACCCACAGAAAGCAGCTGAGAGAGGACTCTCTGTACTATATTATAAATGCTAGGCAATAGCTCAACTTCTTAGTAACTAACATATCTTAATATAATTTTTCAGTCTAATTTTATGTGCATTCATGTTTTGCCTGAATGTGTGTAGCTACTAGGGTGTCAGACCTTGGAATTACAGACAGTTGTTAGCTTCCATGTGGGTTCTGAGAATTGAACCCAGACTATCTGGGTGAGCACGCAATAATATTAACTGCTGAGCCATCTTTCCAGCATACTAATTAACTCTTACAACTGCTTTTTTTTTTTTTTTTGCTTTATCAAGACTGGGTTTCTCTGTATCTTTTCGTAGCCTGTCTGGAACTCACTCTGTAGACCAGGCTGGCCTTGAACTCACAGATATCCACCTGCCTCTCCCTCATGAGTGCTGGGAATAAAGACGTGAACCCCCAACATCCGGCTAACTCTTACACTTGAAATTTCTATTAATCTATGTGTTGCTCCAAGGTTTGTGGGTTTTGCCTCCATTTCATGTCCGGCCTCCTTCCTGTCTTCTGGGCAACTCAATTGACTCTGCCCTTCTTTTTAATAGCATTCTCTCTGCCCCAAAATACTGCCAGCCATCAGTCAATTGGCGTTTCCTAACAATGAGAGTGATACTTACTCACAGTGGAAACTTTGCTCCACAGTTCTCTGGGCTCTAAGAATCCTTTCATAAAGGATGAGTTACATACTGGATTTTGCTACTTTTCACTCCAGTTCCAGCTTGATTAGAACCACAGGAGCTGGCCCACTTTCTCCTGGTTCAGTTCCCAAGTGCTACCTGGGTTACACATAGTCTAGCATTCATGACCAGTATGGATTTCTGTCCTTTACCTTTCTTTCTTTCTTTCTTTCTTTCTTTCTTTCTTTCTTCCTTCCTTCCTTCCTTCCTTCCTTCCTTCCTTCCTTCCTTCCTTTCTTCCTTCCTTCCTCCCTCCCTCCCTTCCTTCCTTCCTTCCTTCCATTCTAGCTTCCTTTCCTCCTTTCCTTGCTGTCTTTCCTTTCCTTTATTTCTTTCATTTTTATTTTAGGATGATTCTATATAGTCTTAGAAGGCCTAGACCTCAATAAGTTGTCCAGGCTGTCCTTCAACTCACAGAGATCTGCTGATCTGTCTGCCTGGAATGCTGTGATTAAAGTTGTGCACCTCTACTCCCATTTGGATTGATTTTCAAATGTTTATGGTGGTGATATAGAACCCAGAGCCTAGGGAATGTTACGTAAGCTCTAAGTCTCACAGCTATCACAGCTACATTGTAGCTTCACTTTTTAAGGAGACCAAATTATAGGTGTTACCCAGGCCTAGTTTTCACCTCTCTAAAATTCTCTTGCCTTCCCTTCCAAGTTCAGGGAACCATAGGTATTCACCACCAGCCCTTGCTGGCATCCAAGAATTCCCCCAATTAAAGCAATCTTACATTCCAGGTTATTTTCAACACTGAAGCTAATCTTGGATTTTTTTTTTGGTTTTTCGAGACAGGGTTTCTCTGTGGCTTTGGAGGCTGTCCTGGAACTCGCTCTGTAGACCAGGCTGGCCTCGAACTCACAGAGATCCGCCTACCTCTGCCTCCCGAGTGCTGGGATTAAAGGCGTGCGCCACCAACTCCCGGCTTAATCTTGGATTTTTTAAATGAATTTTTAAAGATTTATTTATTTATTATGCATACAGAGTTCTGTCTGCATAGATCCCTTCAGGTCAGAAGAGGCTACCAGATCTCATTACTGGTGGATATTGATCTTAGGATCTCTGGAAGATCAGCTAGTGTTCTTAACCACTGAGATATCTCTCCAGGTTCCAAATCTTGGACTCTTCTTGGTCAGTTTTACAACTGGTTAGAAAAGTAGGGGTCTGAGATCGAGAGAATGAGCAGACAGGGACTTGTGACCCTGGGGTTGGAGAGGGTGGCCACTCAGTGTTTCCTGTTATTATCTTATCTATCTCTATACACGTTATATTCATTTGGGAGTGTATATTCAATACATACAGTCTGCTTGTATGTTTATTTCATAAAAATTTTAATACTGTTTCTTTGCAGCGTAGGGTCTGAGGCATATTGCCCACCATATTTCCAAAGAATCACACCCTCGTTCCTGCCCCTGAATAATTGTGAAAAAATGATCTTGTGCTAATAAATTAAACACCATGATTAAAAGGATCAACACTTGAAGGATATGAATAACCAGACAGGCAGAGCTAGCACAAACCTTTAATCCCAAGACTCAGGAGAGAGAGACAAATGGATCTCTCAGTTGGAGGTATGTCCCATCTAAAGACTGATATCCAACACAACCAGCAGTACACAGAGCAAACCTGTCTTGAAAAAAATACAAAGTAAAGTATGAATAATAAATTGATATAAGAAAACAGAATCCAGAAAAATGAACTCCAATGCTAAAGGTAATTCTGTTCTCCTCAGCGTATCTTGGAAATTTTTTACACTTTTTACTATATAATTAAATTAGAAACATGCTTGCTCCCCATGTCAACCCCAGCTCCCTCTTTCGCCCCTCGATGGCCACTCCCCCATTCAACTGCCCCAAGCCCCCCAACAATCCCCACTCTATTCCTCAGGGATGGCAAGGCCCTCCATGGGGGATCTCTAGAGTTTGTCATTATGTTCCA